TCTCTCATTCCTTTTTATCTTCTTTTTTTCTTCCTCTTACATCATTCACCTTTCTATCAATATTGTTGTAAATAATATCAAAAAATATTTTTAGTTCAAAAAAATATCAATAATCTTTTTGAGTTATTAAATATTTAAAATTACTTTTAAATTATGAAATATTTAAAAATTAGTTAATGTTTATTTTCACAAATTGTAACATTAAAATTTCAGTTTTTATATACATATTTAAAATTCAATTTTACATTTAGTATAAATTAAATTGTCCTATCCAAAAATTCAGAATTTAAAATTTTTTAAAATTCAAATCGATTTATCTTAACAAAATATTTAATTAATAAAAATTGAAAATCAAAGTAACTTAAATTAATTTGAAAACTTTCAAACTCTTTCCATTTTAAAATTACTCATCCAAACATTTTCCATTATTTTTCTTTTTACGTGTATAAGTTCTTGATGTCTCCCGTCCGATCAATTGGCTTACTTTTTTACACAATATTCTTTGGCCTTTTTGATCTAGACAACAGAAGAATATTACGTACCTTTATGCAGAAAAAATAATAATATTGGATAATGTTAAATCGTACGAAAAGGAATTTGTGAGGTGTAAACGAATAATTTGAGCTTACACATCACCGAAGACACATTTTGAGGGGTGTTGTCATTAAGTTAAATAGTAGAATAACAAAGTTTACATGAATAAAATTATAGCTCAACGTTATCCTAAGATAAATATCTTCGACAACATTAATTTCTCGATTATGACTTGAATTCTAACTTTTCATTGAAAGCACTTTCTTAATTTTCCCCCCCTTTTTCTTTTTGGGCATTACATATGCATTATTGGTTGAACTTTCATTAATATTTGATGGAATAAGTTGTTCACAAAATTACTATATGGTGGAGGTTAGTTTCCATTTACGTAAGCATGATGCTCCAATGTTTTATTTAAGAATGAAAATTGAAACAAACCGAAGACTATACGGTTCTGTTAATGTGGAAAGTAACATCAATTTTGGATCTGAGTGGCATAATTCTGAGCAGGTACACTTAACCTATCAAAATAGATATGCAGCATCTGATTGGATAAAGTTATGTTTTTCAATTTTACTCTTTCATAAAGTGTAAGAATTGGAAATGCATGAATTTAAAACAAGCCAGCTCAATTGGATATGATACGGGTTATAAAATGTGATTATGCTGGTTTGTTCATGTTGAAACAAGAAATAATAACAAACTATAACACACAGAACCATAAACAGAGAAGAAAAAAAATTAGAGAACAAGGCAATTTCGTTTATGCTGCATAACCATAGTGTTGTGCATAATTTTTATTTATACATGTAAAATACTGAAATACAATGAAAAAAATTTGTTAATTATATATATACTGGAAGTCTATAACTCAAATATTTAATATTTATATTTTTTAATAAAGGATTATGATTCAATCTCTAATTTTAATAATGAGTCATGATCAAAAATATTATTTTATTCTTATAAAGAGTGTTCATTAAACTACATACCGACACCCATACTTGCTTTGAACAAAGCACATATATCTATTATCATTAAGCGTACATATATATTTGTTTCAAAACAGATAGTAAAGAGAACATTACCCACTATACTAAAGTAAGTAAATCATAACATTATCCACTAAAATGGAAAAAACATAATAACAATTAACAAAAAGTATTTTAGAAAAGTTTTACAGGTTTAACGGTTCTTCTGCAATGTGCTCTGAAAATGCTTTAAGTTGCGATGAGTCACTGCTGTAGTTTGATTAAGATCCTCGATATTACGAAAATTGGAGATAAATGTGACTATTATAGATACAATTATGGTCACAAAAACCTTACTATTGCAATTGGGGACCATTTTTTAAATCCTTATCTTTTTTGCATTATTTTATCTCCTCTCTATTGCAAGGGCCCTACCCTTTAGACAAAAGACAGGCAGATTTTGGATATTGACATTGACAATTAGAATCTTATTAATGGACGTGCAATGGTGGTACAACGTAAGTGCAAGCATAACATATGATTTCATAAAGCAAGTTTGTCCTCTTGCGCTTTTTAGGGAAAACCATTGGCAAAGGTTGCATAGAGTCACAAGTCACAACCAAAGTTTACATCATTATGACTTGATATCAGAGTACACATTGGAACATCATTCCAGCATCTTGCTCATCAATCAAATGTCTGTCCTTGGAATCACTTGGTTCTCATACTATTTATTTTTATTTTTATTTTCATGACCATTTACTTTCAAAGACAATCTTCTTCAAATCAGATCAAATACTTCATATAAACACCTCTCCCAAGATCTAATGGTAATTCGAACTTTCCTTAGCCACATTGTGAGAGACTAATCCTTTTCGCTAGAGTACTTAACATGCTCCTCAATTTTAACAACATTAATTTTACATTTTTTGAGTCCAAAATATATGCTATTTGCCTTTTAAGCCAAAGCACATATAACTCCAAACGTGTGGTTCAGCGGTAGGGGTTGATTCATGTTCAAGTAAGGTCAGGAGTTCGAATCCTACCTTGTGTATGTAGTCGCGTTAAATCTTGGAGTCAGCTATCCCACCTTTTGAGATGTCTCTAACGTAGCGAGAAGATTAGTCACTGCTATCGACGATGAAGGATACTCCATGAACGAACCCAAAAAAAGCTGAAGCACATATGGACGTGTCAACTCACTCATGTTTCAGTTTTTCCCTATACAGCATGACCTTTGAGAACCTTGTCGGGTACTTTGGAAATTTTGTTTTCTCATGCAGCACTTTAGATTCCAACTTAGCCTCTTTAATTGGTCTTGAACCAGAAAAACGTGCTCTTCTGCAAACTGATGGAATCTGATTTGTAGTTATCTCTGTTCATGAGGATAGACTACAGTTATATTTGGATGATACAGGTCTAATATACGTTGTTGATATTATTTTGCAATGCAACAATTTAAGGAAGAGAGCATCTTTGATTTGTTTCATAGTTACCAAAGGATAGTAAAGAGTAAAGACCATACTGAATTTAGTTTACATAGAATGTAGACCATACAAACATCTAGTCCTTGATATGTTCACATATGCTGCATGTAGATTATATCAAATACGCGTATTCGTTTTTGACAGAAGCCAAGGTGCTTTTGTTTTTTCTCTCTAATAGTCTAATACCTCTAAATCTAAAATATGATTAAAAAACGAAGATGAAATGGAGCAGAATTGTAATAATTAGTTATCCAATTAGTCTTGGCAATCTATTTATACTATGAAAACTAAGCTATACAAATACGCACCAACATGTAGTAATATTAATTTTGTCACAGTGTAACCATTTGTGTGTTAATTTCAGAATAATTTTGTCTTTTACTACCAACCTCTTTCTATTTACTACTTTTTACTGTTAAATACTCTACCCAATTCTAAAATGTTTATTGGCTATATATTCTAAATGCTAGACTATAGAAAGATGGGGAAAATCTAGGAAATTAACCTATGAAAAGTTTCGAAGGTTGTTTATGGTAATTCTTCCTACTAACCATGAGAACGTAGAATGCTGAAACATTTTAATACATTAACTGTACTTTTTATTTGTATTTCCCGTTTCTTTTAAAGTTGTGTAAAATATTACTTCTGATATTAGAATTGATTATGAAATATTTAAGATCTTTTTAGATAAATTTCTCTACTTCTATGAGAGAAAAAAATTAAAATAGGTTTCTCTATAAATTAAAACTAGGTTATGCATAAGTTAATAAAATAAAATTTTAGAAGAACTAACAAAAGAGAATTTTATGCATAAACTAATTTTAACTTTTGGATAAGTTTATTTTATTTTACTTTTTATTCTTATTTTTCTTTCTTAGACATATCCGGAGAAGTTTGCCGAAGCATGTCTTTAATGTGATTGAAATGCATCCACAAATCAATCTTAGCCAAAATCTTAGATTCGAACGTGGGTAGTGAGGGATTGATTATATTCGTGGTGTAAATCAAGAAGGTCTAGTCAAGTGCCCACTACAATTGCTCATGAATATGAAATAGACATGATCTCAGCAGAAAACTATATATTGTGCACTTCGTATGGAACTCTTGTAAGATTATTTATTGGTTATGCCCTTCTCATTATATCTTCCTTTGGGAATGTAAGCAAACAACTCCCATGAGAGCATAGACAAAATGAAAATCTAAAAGAGGAAAATTAAAATGAAGATCTAAAAGAGGAAAATTGCTACACATGCATGTATATTAAAACTTCGTTTCTGGGATAGGGAAGAAACTAGAAAGAGATCAACGTTGTTTGAGAGCACTTGTAATTAACATGGACTAGCTTTAAGTTATCCACGTGGTATAGAGAATAAGTCTCAAAGTAGGTTAAAATTTCATCATTTGGAAGTATTCTATCATTAATATATGGATATTGCTTGTAATCAAATTGTCTTTGTTTCAAAATTGTACAATGTTGGCCATCAATAAAATATCTGATACATAGTTGTGAACTTCAGAACAAGTATTTATCGATCAAGGGTGTTAACAAAATTGATTTGACTTGATGAGTGTGATAATCCTAATTGAGCAACTAAGTGATTAACTTAATTAGTTTGGGTTAATTTGGATAATTGGTTTACTTTGCATTATTCTAATTCGGTAAGCGTTATTTACATAAGAAAAAAAAAAGCATCTAGGGAAACAAGATGTTAATGGTAAACAACAAAAGCAAAGTTGAACAGTGTGTCACCTAGCTAGGTACGTAGGTGAGAACTATTATTGCGTTACAATTCAAAAGTAGAGGACAAGAACGGTTATGCTTCTTTCAGGTTTTACAATCATATATGATATAGCCATTCTTATCAGTTATCAGTGATTTCAGGGAATCCTTATCCTCCTTTTTAACCATAAATCAAACAAAAGGTGGTGTGGTACAATATAACCATGTGACTTGGCACTCCTATAAATACAAATAGCTGCATTATCAATTAAGCAAACCACTCAAAACACACAAAGAAGCTTAGAGCTCAATTACCCTTGAAAATACTAGAAATTTGTGTGTTTGTGAGTGACACTTGAAAATCATCAAAAGAAAAGTGAAAATGGGAGCCAAGAGGTCATCTAGTTTCTCTTTCTACAACATGTTGAAGGGTTGTTTCTCAGGTGGGAATAGGTATGATGAGTACTGGGAAGGTAGTGGAAGTGGAAGAAGGATATTTGCAAGTGATGAAGATAGAGCACATTGGGTTGCAGAGCCTGGCATTGATAGAAAAGCTTCTGATTTCATTGCTAGATACTATGCCACAAGAGTCACTGACTCTGAGCAAAAATTTGCATCTTGAAATTGCATTTCCACATTGCCTCCCATTCATGCAAGTAGCTACAAATGTTCTTTTGAATAATGATGTGAACACGGTATCATTAGAAACAACTCCTTAACACTCCTAACTTCTTTCTTTTTTTCTTTATCTTGTTATCATGTTATATCACCTATTATAATTAATTTCTCTCTTTACTTTCAAATAGATTTGTGGTGTCCACAAATCATTTGCTTATTCTCTTTCACTCAGACCTCTTGTACTTGTTAGTTCCCACTTCCCACCAGTTGCATTCATTTGGTAGTAGTGATGCGCTTCGTTTTTTTTGATCAGCAAAGATAGATATATATTATAAAGGTACCAGGGGTACCAAAAACTCATACACGAGTAGAATGTAATACAAAAATACACAATAATACATAAATAAGTGCTTATATATGATCACCTCTATCATGTTGATTGGACCAAATTACCCAATACGTACGAGCTGAGTTCAGTGTGACATCTTCCACCAAAAAGAAAAGGACAATAGACTCCGAAACTGTAATGCATAAATAGAATTTGAAAATTAAAACAATTTATTCGAAATGGTTACACGAGAAAAAACGAAAAGAATAAATAGTTGTTTAGATTGTAAAACTTGTAATCAATTACTAAAACCTTATATTTGATTACTAGATGATTTTATAAATTTAACTTTAATTCTAATACTTATAATCCTTTAACTAATTTTTTAATTAATAAAAAATATTATAAATAATGATTTTTTTATAATATTTATTAAAATTATACATGTAACACTTAAATCCAAAATAATAATCAAGTGTCATAAATTCTCCAGCATCAACCATATATATTATATATATATATATATATTAGTTTTACATTACTTGCATTCACATATATTGATCTGCTATATTGGAGTCACATCTTTATTATTTTATTAAGGAATGTTTTTACTTTCATATATTATTTTATAAATTATATATTATAAATTATCATAAATAATTTTTAAACTAATTATAAAAATTAAAAGAAGTTTAAATAAATGCAAATGACAATGTATTACAAAGTAATAGTTTCATCTTTGTATTAAAAATATATTATCCTTCTCTTTTTCATCTATCTTTTAACATAATTCACTACAAGAAAAATGCTGATTTTCGACGGAAATAGGTAAATTTTCGACAGATTTTTCTTTTTCTAACGGATTTTCGACGGATTGAAATCCGTCGGAAAAAGTGGCGTCGGAAAAAAAATCCGTCGGAAATAATTTTTCCGACAGAATTTTCCGATGAAAAATTCCGTCGGAAAATTTTGTCAGAAATTTCTGACGGAAATCCGTCGGAAATTGCTGTCAAAATTTCCGACGGAAAAATCTGTCGAAAATTATAATTTTTTTTAATTTTAATAAATTTATTAATGTAACAACTCTCATATTTTGTCTCTCAAGGATTCTATTTCACAATATTTCACTTAGCGTGTTTTATCCTTACTTATGCAATTTCTGGGAGACTTCCCAGAAAGTCACCCGTCCCAGTACTACTTCAGGTCAAGCACGCTTAACTGTGAA